AAAAAAAAAAAAAAAAAAACCTGAGGCAAAAGTGCCAAAAGTTGTTCAGTTTATTTTTCTGCACAACATTTTGTTTTTTCAGTTGTTCTTTTTTTTTTTTTTTTGGCTGGGACTGTCTATGGTCCTTGCATGGCCGTGCAGCCCGGGCACACAAGGTGGTCCGCTCGGCCCGGCTGGTAGCCTAGCTTGTTACTATGTTAAGTGCAGAAAACAAAAACAAAAATGAGACCAGATTCATCAGAAGCAAAAAAAATTGACCCACTAAGAAGAGATGCTTGTTGGGTGCTGTCAATCCAGGTGTGTGCAGATGCAGATGCATTGTCGATCGAGTTCAAAGGCAGCAGAAGTAGAAGTGCATCAGTCCACATTCAAGGTGGACTACGGGTGAGTGCTTGCGGCCGGCAGAAAAGTTGAGCAGAAGAAAAGAGAAAGTCACTTCACTTTAGTTCTTCTTGGGCCCAATGCCCATATGCTGATAACCCCAAAACGTTTCGCGAAAACCTAATCAACAAGGATGTGGGATGTGTTCAGAGTCTTCAGACCAGCCAGCAGCCCAGCAGTGTTGTTGCTGAACAGTTAAGTTGAGTTAACACTTCTGAAGAAAGGAAAGTTTTCTTCTGGGTGCAGGGAGAAGGAGAGAGTCTGTTGTTCGAAACATTGTTCGAAAAATTGTTCGAACTTCGAACGCACCGCGTGCATTGGGAAACTTAGATAAGTTGTGTGTGTGTGTGTGTGTGTGCTGTGTGTGTGTGTGTGTGTGCTGTGTGTGTGTGCGTGTGTGTGTGTGTGTGTGTGTGTGTGTGTGTGTGTGGTGCGAGGGATGGGATATCAATTGTGTTTTATTGTTATGGGCCTTATGGCTTTCTACAATGATGAGGAGGCGGCAGGCATGGAGAGGTCTGAGGTACCCCTTCTTGATTTTTTTTTGTTTTCGAAAAGAGATCTACCCCTTGGCAACAGGCCAATCAAACAGTAATAAAGTTCAAAATGAGGCCCTATGAGGGTATAGTGGAACTAGGGGACTTTCAAGGATGCATCTGACCATAATTAGAGCCAGATTCAGTCTAGCAAGTCCTAGTCTGAGTATGGGTTTTGTTGTACTAGTAAGGAGTGTCTGATAGAGAGAGATGAGATCAGGGGTATATTGGCAATTTGGTCCCTTATGACATCTGCAGCAAAGGTACGGATTATCGCGTCAGCTTCTGGAAGTGTCAGGAATGACATTGCGGCAGGGGCGATCAGGGGTATATTGGCAATTTGGTCCCTTGTGAGCAATTATATGAGCATTCAGCAGAAGCTAAAAGAGGGCTACGTACATGGAACTGTTGATATTACATATCGACGGTTTYTTTTTTTTTTTTAATTTTTAATTTTTTTTTTTTTTTAGTTCAAACTTCAAATATCCAGTTTGATACGGTAATTGATGATCTGAAGGGGCTCGGGCCGCTCGGCCCTTTAAAGAAAATGATGATAGTTGCATGATTTGAAATTTGAATCAGTTGATGGAATTAAATTTTAAATTTTAAAACAGAGAATAAAAAGGAGAAAAGGCTGTGTAACAAGACGCCCCGCCCCCTTTACATCACATCTGGCCAGTGTACTCATGGTCAGACTTAGCGAGCTTTTTTTTTTTTATATATATATATTTTTTGGACCATTTCTCGATTATGCATGCCATCCTTGCGCAGGGCCATGCTCTAATCTTCTCTCTCAGTATCGTTCCAATTTTAACGCATGTCCCGAAGGACGCGAGCATTTTTTTTGAGACAGGTTCGGTACCGAACCAGTTCATTCAAAGCGGTTTCAGACTTTCAGTGGCGGGTCATCCATGCGCAGGGACCATGTTCGTCATAGGAGGGGTATGTGGGGCTCCAGCATTTAGCTGTGATAGGTTTGGTACCAAACCTTTTTGAGGCTTTTTCGCACTACTTGACCTATATGTTAGGCTCTTTTTTTTTTTTTTTTTTATCTAAGGGCTTTTTGAGTCGTGGGTTTGCTATTGAACCTTTTGTCGGGGGAATAGTAAAGTACTAAAGAATCTAGAGATATGTTAGGCTCTAGCAGTTAGCAACTTAGTAGTCTTAGGCATGGTACCAACTTCCAAGCCTATTCCATGGTAGCAATTTTAGCCAACCCCTATTTGTTAGGTTAAATCTCCTTTTGGGGTAACAGGTTTGGTACTGTACCTGTTGGACATCATAGTGTTAGACTTGAACTGCGTCACGGCGGACTCTCGTCGTAAATCTAGCAGATCGCCACGACAGGTTCGGTTCCAAACCTGTCGCGTCAAATTTCAATCGGAAACCTGCCGAATAGAACGCCCGGTCATTATAGCCGTATTTGGTGCATTTGTCAGTCCAGATACGGCTATACGGCCGTTCTATTCGGGATGGAGACGGTAGCAGTCAGAACTTAGTCGTGATAGACCTGGTACCGAACCTATTGGTTCAGGGTTCAAACCTCACGACTGGTACCGAACCTATTGGTTCAGGATTCAAACCTGGTGCAGGGTTGTTACCGAACCTGCTGCTGTTTCTCCATGGCTGTTATTACAGTGATCAGTGATATAAGCTCTCAGCGTGACGGACGCAATAGGTAGGTTTGGTACCTATTACCTATTGCGTCAGGGTTCGAACCAACCTGTAGGCTTGGTACCACACCTGTTTCTCCACAGCTCTTACAGTGTTAAGTTCTCAGCCGACGCAGGCCAAGCAGCCATGGAGGCCTCTCTCTCTCTCTCTCTCTCTCTCTCTCTCTCTCTCTCTCTCTCTCTCTCTCTCTCT